ATAGCACAGTACATTGTTCTAATTTGACAACATCAACTAAGGTTTTTGCATGTTTAATTTATAGTGAAAGATAATTTTAATTGGACGAAATATCTTCTTGAGGGCGAAGAAAAATACATCGTGCATTATTATGACACACATGAAGAGGTATACTACAGGGTGTATAAAAAAAAACTGAACAGATTTGAAATTGCTCTCAGTACTTAAAACCCCGAAAAATTTTCCATCTATTAACTCAAAATATGATTACAACTTTTAAATTTTGTGCGCGAACCATTTTTAGTTTGTTGGAAAAGACACCCCCCCTGGTTCACAAAATTTGAGTTCAAGAAATTTTTTTCATTATTCTACATTATAAGTACCCAAAGAAGCTATATATATATATAAAAACTGGATACAAATAGGTGTTTTGCGAAATTGAGAGCAATTTCAAATCTGTTCAGTTTTTTTTTGATACACACTGTATATTATATGCACAACATTCTACACTTCTCTCTTACCAAAATCATCTATATTTATAAATTTTGTTCCATTTATTTCATTTCTCTCTCACAGTCATGTAGTTTTTGAAGTACTAGTTAAATCATGAGCAGCTGATCTTTATCTGATATACAAACTCGAGTCGAAGGCGTGAGTTTCTGTTTGTATATCAGATAAAGATCGGATGCGAATGTTTTAACGAATAACATACTTAAAAAACGACCCATCTTGTGAGTTCATTGGCGAAGTAATTTTAAAAATAAACATATTGTCTAAGTCGAGAAAATCAAAGCTGAAGTTTATGTATAAATCAGGACAAATCTTTATCCGATGTACAAACATTGATTAAACATTAATTTCTTTTGTATTTTCCTCGTGAATTATTAATAAAATTTTTAATATTTAATACAGTTTTCGTCTTTGTTTCAGGAATTTTGGAGTGATTTAGAATCAGAGGTATAGTTACACCGTAATATAAACTTAAGATATTTTTTCTGCATGATTTCCCCCAAGCATAATGGACGAATTGTCCCGTTGTCTTGTGTTTTATAAAATAGGATGAAAGTGACAATGAAAACGACCAAGATTTAGAAGGACAGGATTTGGATGAAGATGAAAGAAAACAACTCCAAGGAATTAATAGAACCATTCGACATCCCGAGATTAATGGAGTTACAAAGGAGGTCAGTCCGTCACTAAATAACTGAATGTCACTCAGGCATCCAATAGTTCTTGATTTAAATTGCCGTTTGTAACTCCAGACCTGTTAAGAATTGACCATTTGCGTAATAGACTAAATTTTGAACTAAACAAGTCTAGACAAAAATTTCATCACAGCTTGAAGGAGCATCAAAAAATTAGTAATATTCCAAAGTTTCGTTGCAAAATGTTGTAAAATGCGGAAAATATAGCCTTGCGAAATTTGCAATTTTCAGTCATTTTAGATTACAAACGGGAAATAGACAGCCCTAAACCCTTCGAGGCTGTCAATTTCCGGTTTGTAATCTAAAATGACTGAAAATTGCAAATTTCGCAAGGCTATATTTTCCGCATTTTACAACATTTTGCAACGAAACTTTGGAATATTACTAATTTTGTGATGCTCTTTCAAGCTGTAATGAAATTTTTGTTGAGACCAAAATTTAGTCTATTACGCAAATGGTCAATTTATGTGTAAAATTCATTTCTCCATAGAAGAAGAACGAAATCCATTACCACATCTGGAAAGAGCATCTTAAAATTAGTAAACTTGCAAAGTTTCGTTGCGAAATGTTGTATAAAAATGAGGAAAATATAGCCCTGTGAAGTTCGCAAATTTTGTATATACTTGCATTTACGCGCGGGAAAAATAACCATTTTTGAGCCGAAAGTGGTTATTGTTACCGCGCGTAATACAAATATATACAAAATTTGCGAACTTTACAAGGCTATATTTTCTTCATTTTACAACATTTCGCAACCAAACTTTGCACTTTTACTCATTCTAAGACGCTCTTTCTAGCTGTGGTGTTGGATTTCGTTCTTCTTGCCTTGATCAAAATTTAGTCTATATAGCTGGAATCACCCATTCTGAGTTTCACGCTTGTATTAAATTAACAGGTGAGGGATATTCTTTGTGAAAATCTAGTGGAAGCTTACTGGTTGACCAATGAAAGTTCTCGTGTGGCTGAAGAAACATCGGAAATGTCACTGGCCTCTCAATGGTACGAATAAAGTCCCGGTCGAACTGGGACGAGAGTTTATGAGAGTTGACAGTCACGTATTGTTACGGGGGACATTTCAAAACAGCTAACCAAGGTCGCTGCCAACTCTCATCCTCGTTTGATCTTAAAGAATCAGTCTAACGCAATGATAATCCTGTCTTACGCCAGTGAGATCTGGGCACCTCAAGCCTCGTCACGCGATCTGGAGGGTGTTCAGAGATGAGCTACTAAATTTATACTTTACAATTATGAGTTGTCCTATCTTGGGCGTCTTAGGAAACTTAATTTATTGCCTATATCTTACTGGCTTGAAATACAGGATCTCATTTTTTTCTCAAATGAAAACAAGACCTCCACGACCTGGATATCTCCTCCGTTTTGTCACCTTTTCTTCTAATTGCTCGTCTCGCACCTTGCTTCAAGTCATTCCGTGCAAAACCTCTCTTTTTAGAAACTCTTTTTTTAACCAAATTGTCTTTCTATGGCAAAATCTCTCTCCGATCATTCCTAACAATTCGTCGTTCCATCCTTTAAGCTCCAGCTCCATGCTCTTCTGTCGATGTTAACAGAATGCGCACTTGGAAAACCTACTGCTTTAAATGCCGTTCTTTCAACTTAAGCTGTTGCTCATAATCTAACCTATTAATTTTTATATAGTTATGTAAATAGTATTCTAGTCCTTGTCTTTAGCTACTTGGGATTCATGTCCTGTTGACCATACCTTCAATCATTGTTATATATTTTATAGCACTTTTGTATGATTGCAAAGCTAATAAATAAATAGATAAGCAAATTTCTGAATTCCAGACGGACTGTCGAATTTTCATTATTTATTTCAATTCAGGTCGCAGTATTGTGAAGAAACTAACCCGCTTGGAGCTGTGGTAGCTACACAAAGACTTCATGAAATACAGATTGTCAGAGAAACGATCTGGTAAACACACATATAGCTTTCTATCTTTTTAATCATGTTTACCTGTATTCAAAAACTTTTTGTTGTAGGTGACATATATCTACTAGGAATGTTCGGTATGAGAAATTTCCGGTATCGGTATACCGAAAGAATTATACCGATATTATCGGTATACCGGTTTTCCTTTGATAATTATATAAGAAAATTCTTTAATGAAAATTTGAAGGAAATTTTGAGTAATTCTAAAAGGGAAAACGATAATTCCGAAGCTGTTTCGAACGACACGTACTCAGTGTAAAATCTCACTGAAGTGGAAATTCTAAATCATTGCAGTAGAAAGTTCTTTGAATTGCCATTCAGCAGTAAAATAAAGGTTACGGTTTCGCCACATAGTTGATAAATGTAACCATAACTATGATGTAACACGGTATACTGAAACATTCCGGTATATCGGAAATTTCGGTATATCGGTATGGTTCAATATCCGGTATCGATATACCGATATTGATTTAATACCGATATTTTCGGTATATCGGTATACCGAACAGTCCTAATATCTACCAGTATTTTTTATGCATGTTTACAGGACACCCTTTTTGGCGTTTTGCGGAAAATCGCTACTGCGCGCTCAATATCAGTCCGATTTTCATCAAATTTTCACCGAATGTTCTCCAGTGCATGCGAAATATGGTAACGTTGTAAAATTAACAAACAATAAAATAATGTAAGAATTATTCAGGAAAATCTTAAATCGCGGTACCGTTACGCTTTTGAGTTGTGCTCCTGCTGGTTTTAAGTTATATTTATGAAAATATCATTTTTATACAGTAAAATAGATGTTCTAAAAAATTGTGTTCGGAAATTTTTGTTTATTTCGTCATTCCGCTGATATGGCGATTTCTTTGACGACTGCAATATATTTCTGAATTGTTTGAGTGAATTGCTCTTTATTTTTAAAATATCCAAAATTAAAAAAAAAGCCGAAACTTTTGAAACTGACGTCTTTAGCTATGTCCTGTGAAAATTTGAGAAAAATTGGTTAAAACCCGCAGGAGCACAACTCGTTTGAAAATCAGTAATTACCGCAAACCTTTTCGGGAGAAAATTGAATTTGAATATTACATATTTACATTTTCAATGTTTTCCTTATTGCAGCGAAATGTATTTTATTAAATAACTCTGCGAGTTTTCAACATTTTTCGTTCAAACTTGGTCAGATAGTAGAACTAGTCTAATGCTTTCATGGAAACCAATAACGTTGTCTGATTATAATTTCATCTCAATCACATGTGAGAAGAGTGCTTCCAGTTTCACTCTCCCAAACAGGTTTTCTTTGGGTACTCTAACTTCCCAGTAAGGGATGGCCCTGGATTTTTAGGGGGAACATTGTAGACAGAAATAATAGAGACAAGCGGAGCAAAGCGAGTAATGTGTTTTGTAGGATGTTGTCAGGCGTGAAAAAACTTTATGTTTACAATTATACAAGTGGAAAATTTACAGTTCGAGATGGAATTGAGATGACACACATGACAAAGGTAACAAGTTGTTTCTGAAATTTTTAAATTTTACTTTTTTTAATCCTAAGATTAAATCATTGAATCCTAAGATTTTATCAGTGAACCCTAAAGATTGGATCGTGAATCGTTCCTTTTATTGCCGTAAATAAAAACACATTTGTTTTATCTCGTTGCTAGCTTTCCCTGCAGAAATTTCTGACAACGTTTGCCGAAACAGCTAGTTCGATTGTAGAACTTCGCAGTTTTATCAAGAATGTTTGTCAAAGATATAATGATCACGAAAGAATTCCTCAAACTTTCCAAGCTTTTGGTTTTGCGATTTTAAAATACCTTCAGGTAAGAGATGTCTTCTTCTTTTTTTAGTGTAGTTCGAATTACCTAATCAGCTAACATATGTCACCTTGCAACCCATTTCACATTTCTGGATAACTCGCATACTTATAGTTACCACTGTTCTGAAAATGCAAACATTCAGTAGAACAATGGTAACCAATCGTAACACTGGTTAGCTGGTGGGGTTTCATCAATCTCACGGAACTATTGACTTATATTCTCTGCTTTTTACACAAACAGAAATTTAACGAGGATTTGTCGGCCATAGAAGAATCGATAATAAAGAAGGGTATGTTTAATGAGATGTTGGTGACACTGTGACCGCGTATTTATATATTACACACGTAAAAACGCACAAGTTGTTACAGGTCTGCAAACAAGTTTTTACAAATCTATTCACAAGCTGTCGACAAGTTCTATTCGCTCTGCTCTGTTCCCAGATGTTGTAACAAGTTTGGAACAAGCTGTTAACAACTTGTAACAAGTTTGATGGCATTATCAGACTTGTTACAAGGTTGTTCTGACAAGTCTGACACAGTCGTGACATAAATGTTACAAGGTTAATGACACAAGGTTGCAACAGTATTTTTATATCATGACGGTATCGGACTTGTTGGAACAAGCTTCCAACAAGTCTGATGATATCAACAAGGTTTTCACAACTATTAACAAGTTCCATACCTGTTCACAACTTGGGACAAGCAGTGCGAACACACCGACGGCTTGTTGGCAGATTTCCTATACAAGATGTGAGATTTTCGCGTGTGTATAGAAGACGTCTACACGTCTAGATACCAGATGAACAGTTCAACATAACACTAAGAAAGAAGCCACAAAAATACTTAAATTTGCAGCTTCTGCTTGCAATGCTGAATCCTTACATTTTTTATTACTTTCTTTCAGAAGAAACAGTTACTTTATCAGTCTTACAACATCGCATGTCTCGATATCAGAAAGAGGTAGGAAAACCTGTCCTAATTAAATGCGTTATTTGTATTTATGTTTTAGATAATAACATGGTTTCGAGTGCAATTAAAAAGAAAAACATGCACGGGTGAGTTTTTCAAAGACGATCAAAATTGCACGAGTCCGAAGTAGGAGTGCAATCTGGAGTCACTGAAAAACTCACGAGTATTTGTTTTTCCCATAGATATCTTATATACACTAGATAGTGCATCTAATTATTCTGCAATTCAAAAATTGAAGCCGTGATTGCAGATTCAGGATATTCCCATGAAATGAGAAGACTCGTATGTTTTCTATTTCTTAAACAGGGAACTTAAACATTAAGTTAACCCTATTCCAAATACATTTTCAAACTATTCAAATGATGAAAGTTATTGTTGTTTTTTAAGCGTTTATTAGCGAGTGGGAAACTTCAATATGGCCGCGCCATCTATTTAAATGGGGGTAACCGCTGGGATATTCTTGGCTTCAATTTTACTAAAAGAGATGCGCTGTATATAAGCTATCTATGGTTTTTCCAAATTGTACTTTTGTTACAAATGTGATTGTAATGCTCTTAGCAAGCAGAATTGAGTATTTCTTTCAATCTATATTATTGTGTGATGTAACTGTTTTCTTTTAGATTGATGCAATATTTAATGTCTATCACCATGGAGTAAAATGCATAGAGAAGCGAGAGAACTATGAGGTCTCGTGTGAACTCCTTCAGTTATTATCATGCAACAAACAAACAGACAGACATAGCAAAATGGACAGGCAAAATGACATTTTATATTTCTGTTTACGTTTTAGAAAGTTGCTTGTTTCCTAAATGCATTTCACCATGACATCCTTCTAGCTGATGGCCTCGGGACTTATGGTCATTGGAAGGTTTGTAGCAAACGCAAATGACAACTCATTGAAAAAATCAATCAAAATATGTATTCAACCAAAAATTATGTCTCCACTTTTTTCCTATAGGTGAAAGTGTTATTACCGCTGTTTTTGAAAACCCTTCGACCATATGTAGAATTCCTCGATGGTTGTTTAACGGAAGGAAAGCTAACAGATGACAGTGATGAATTTTGTATCCAAAGGTACTATAACCTAGTTTTGGAACTTGCAGAAACCATGTTTCCCGAAAGTGATCAAAACAGGAAACATTGTTTTTAGACAGTTTTCCTGAAGGCGAGTAATCAATCAAAACTTTGTTTCCTATAGCCATATTTTCTGAAGGTGGGCAAACCAGGAAATATTGTTTCCTAGCCATATTTTCCGATTGTAGTAGACTAGTGTAGTGAACTGGAACACAGGCCAATGCAAGCATTTATTCTGTGTACTAGGTTATATTAGTATCTTTATACAAATATCAAAACGTTACCTTTAGACTTTCGAGCAACGTCAACCTAGGGCCCGAACTGTGGACATCAGTTCTGAAAACCAAAGGCAAGTTTTCACAATTTATTCTCGTTGTGTATAGCTTTTTAACTTCTCGTATACCTGTATTATATAGTTTGAGCAATCCTTCAATAATATTTAGTACTTTTTATGGCAATTTTAACATCTTTTGACTTTCATTAGGGGAAACATCAGACGACAATGTTTCGTGGCCTACATTTCTTCAACCTGTCTTAAACGAGGTTTGTATGGTTAGGACTTTGAATGGCGGGTACAGTTTTGTTAGGCGTCTACGACTTTTGCCCAGTTGAAAATGTTAAATTTAATGGCAGTACTGTATTTTTTAGATCATTCTTGCCGGGAAATCGATTATTCTTTTGGAAACGTTGGGCGAGGTAGGAATACAGTAAAGCCTGGGCTCAGCTTCAGGGCTTTGTTTTTGAGACTCACTTTTGCATTCATTACGTTTTCGAAGTTGGATTTAGAAGATCTTTGGCAGAGTACTCATTTGACTGACAGGATAGCAGGGTTGTAATTAATATATTTTATTTCTTATCGCAGCTAGCAAAGAATGCTGATCGTCTTTTACAAGGTATTATGATTACAATTTCGCACATGAGGAATGGCTTCATAGCCGTGATACTAATTTGTGTATTTTTATTTAGAGGAAAGTCTTAACGCGATGTTTACCCATTCTGTTTTAAATCTAACCGACACTCAAAGTAAGTTTTGTATATTTTGTAAACCTGGCATATGTCCAAGATTAATATACCTTCTACTGTTTTACCCACTTCAAAATCTATAAGTAGAATCGTTTTATTAATTTATGTAGATATGGCAGAGCTGTTTCCACTTTGCTTGTATCCGCACATTCAAGTAAAATACGAAAAGGTGATAACAATAATCAAGATTTTTATTAAAAGTCCGCAGGAAGCTTTCTCATAAAAAGTGATTTTCCGAAAGATCCTGACACAATTAATTTACATTATTTAAAAAAAAGAATTAATGTTAAAACGCTGAGAATTAATGTTAAAACGGCAGAAAGGCACTGGTCTATAGTCTTGCTTGACAATTCCACAATTACCATCTCATTTTGTCTCTATTTTATTTTTGTTTTTGTAATTGCCTTTCCAAATAAGAAGATATGGATTTGATTCAGAAATTGACACTCTCTCCCCCCTTGCACCCCCACCCTGTGAAGGCTAAGATGGCTGCACACCCCTCTCCCTTGCACTCCAGTAAATCCAAACATTTTATTTTGCAGAGTTGTAATTCTTTAATTCACCTTTTGAAGACCGAATACATGTTGTTAGACCATCTGGCTGCCTTGAGGGTAAGATATATGCTGTTAGGTGAATACATGGGCCTGTCACTACTGCGATTAGGATTCTTAATCAGTCTATAAATATTGTAAATTATTTGTATTAGAAAATCTATTGTTTTTGTAATCTATAGAATTTCTTCTTTCTGGAAGCCGGAGATGCCATGTATCACTTTTACACGGATATTTTTAAGAAGGTTCGAAATTTTAATTTTGCATTGAAACATGTTTACACTTATAAAGTTTGTTCGTTCGCTGCAACCAGGTATATCAATCATGTTTCGCTCGCTACTCTGGTTTAAATAAATGATTACAAAGCCCAGTCGAATTGTAATCAAGACCCAACGTTTCGACACTCCAGTCTAGTGTCTTCAACAGGGGTGATCTAAAACTGTTTACACTTGCAATTTCTAGTGCTATTTTCTTCTGATGATGGATGTGAACGAATAGATAAGTTATGAATGTTCTGACTCACTTCAGAGTATATGTATACTATTAGATGACAAAAGTTATCATGTGATAACCAGTGAACTCTATGCAGTGTGACCACATTTGGTAAAAAGTTTTACTTTTGGTAAAATTTCGTGAATTTTCAAGAAAATTTGGTAATGACTTCTTTTGGTAAAATTTTGGTAAAATCTGAAAGGTTTGAATTATTAAAAATAGTTGGTAAAAATGTGTGTTTCTTGTTTAATAACGTGCTCAAAGTGATGAACAGAACTGCCAAGCCTAAGAAATAAAGCCTTATCATTAGCAAAAACTGCAATACGATGAAAGCAACAAGTATTTCGAGACACTTTTTGTGAATATTTTTTCTACTTTGATGACGTAACTATTGTTTTTTGGCAACATCATGACGTAATTATTTGGGAAGCCGACATTTGGTAAAATGTTTCTTAATTTAGTAAAATTTGAACAAAATTTTGGTAATGACTGCTGAAAAAGTCTGGTCACACTGACTCTATGTAAACTGGAAGGCTAAACTCCTATGATAAAGCCTATGATTTGCTGAAGCCAAAATAGTTTTCCTGAGTTATGAGCAGAAATACTTGATCCCAAACGTTGGGCTATATATCAAACTGAAGCTATTGAAAATTGCTATTCGGTGTGGAAATTTCAAGACTTCAGCGAAAAGAAAAATATTTTAAAAATACAAAAACAACTGCCATTTGGCAATCATTTTTGTAGTTTTTAAATATTTCCCTTTTAGCTAAAGTCTTGAAATTTCTACACCAAATAGCGTTTTTCAATAGCTTCAGTTTCATATACAGCACAACGTTCAGTGTTGAGTATTTCTGCTCATAACTCAGAAAAACTAAAATGCACTGGCTTCAATCCCTTCCCCCCCCCCCACCCCTGAATTAGCCTTCCAGTTTACATAGAGTTCACTGGTGATAACTCATCCACTCATTCACATTCATCAAAAGAAAATCGCTCATAAAATCGAAGCAAAAATTGCAATGGTATACCAGACTTGTAGAGTTGTGTATGACCTCATCGGATATCAAGATGTTCAGTGTGTTGAAACGATGTTTCTCGAGGTCTATACTTAATTCGTTTTCCGTTTCGTAGTGTAATCGCCATGAACGTTGGCAAGACATGTCATATTTAAACAGCTTATTCCAAGAATCTCTCATGCCTGGCTACTCGGATATGCAAGAGAGGTAAGCATATTTGTAACCAATGGGTGAACTTGAATCCAACAATATAAACCGTTTTTCTTTTTCCTTAGATTCACCGTGGGCTACAGCAAGCCAACAAAAATCACGATCGATTCGTTTGAAGGCCTGGAACTGAATTATAAGGTATTCAGCTTCTTTTTTTTCTTTTCTCTTTTTTCGGCACAGACAACAGGACTGAGGAGTCCCAAATGCACATTACATTGACATTGTAAAACAATAGAGACCTGGGTTACAAACTTTAACAAAGCTACAACACAATTACACAACGCAACACAACACAACACAACATTACAACATACGATCAATGCGTTCCAAACCCTCTTAACACTTTCCGAAGTTAACATAAACTAGACATTGACCGCCCATATATTGCAGTCCTTTCTAAGTCAACTACCTTAAAATGAAGAGACCTGAAAATTGCAAAGAAGGTTTGGGAAAAGCCCAAGTTACAAAAAAGTTTTATACATACAAATGTATCAACATTGTACTGCAGCACAGATACAGTCAAAGAATACAGTAAACATCCTTGCATGTGACGTCACGACCAATTCAGACAGTGGTTTTCTCTGCTGTCTATAAAGTGCCCTTCTTTTTGCCACCCAAAATTGCGAATTTCTTAAGCTTCGTTCAAACGGAGTCGAACATCTTCCAACATTGTTGGATAAATATCAATGTTCAGGGTTCGTAGCGGTTTGAAATCCTTGAAAGTCTTTAAATTTGAATGCAGGTCTATAAGGTCTTTGAAAAGTCTTTAAATTGTGTGAAAACGCGAAGAAAGTCTTTAAAAGTCTTTAAATTCTTCAGTGAGTGTTTGATTATACGATTTCCTAGCTAAAAAAGTAGATTGATTGAAGAACAAGGTTTTCGCAAATATCGACGAAAAAGCGCAATTTAGGATGTGATTTAACGGGATTAATTACCGGGTAAAAATGGTGCTTACACTCGCAATTTTTAGATAACTGATTGCTCTGAACGGTCTTTGAAAAGTCTTTAAAAATAGGCAGAAAAATTCTTTGAAAGTCTTTAATTTTTTTTGGTCTTGGAGACTACGAACCCTGATGTTGAAAATGTTCTCTTACTAGGCGCCATGGCCAATCAACCTCGTGATCGACTCTGCATCTCAGAAACAATATAACGACGTATTCTTGTTTTTGTTGCACCTGAAACGCGCAAAGTGGAGTTTGGATGACTTACGTTTCAAAGGTGAACCTCAATTTGTTGTAGTGCCTTTAAGCCCAGACGAGCAAGTATTCCTTGACAAGTTTCCCATGATTTGAGCATTACCCTTCCTTTTTCGCCTACTAGATTTACAAAGCAGACATATTATACCTGACTCGGACCAGGACGAAGAAGAGAACAATGTTGTTCAAATGAATATTAAACTCGAGCATCGCATTCAACATCAACTGCATCTTGTCCGTTTCGATTTGATGCAGTTTGTGAATGGATTACATCAGTACATCATGACAAGGGTAAGAACTGAATGACGTGAACCACGTCTACGGTAGCCCCCCGGCTACTATACATGCAAAGTGACTTGATCTAACTGCAAGCCTATGGTCAGAAAATCTCGTGTGATTTTCTCCCAGAATGGATTTAAAATTTTCATATTATGCATATCTCAATTCCCGAGTTGTGTTTCTTATTACCAAAATTTTATTTCCTTTCATTTCTTTTGCCTTGCTCACGAGCTTTGCGTCGTGAACCGTAAATTTTGTTCGCTGCAACAAAGTAAATATATTGCAGAAATGAGTATGACAAGCAAAATTGATGTTCTTTCAAGCTTATCATAGAAGTTTATTCTCTCGCTCAGATTCTCCACAGTAAACTGGAATTCGAAGAAGCGTTAAATAAGGTATATTATATGTTGTGATTTCAGTGTATTTCATAACATGCATCTTTTTAGTATGGTTCAAAAGAATGTTTCTAAAGTTTGGAAGGGGTGTTTTTTTATTTGTTTTTTAGGCAACAGATTTGGATGAAATAATCAAAGCACATTCACTCTACATAGAAAAGGTTTTGGAAAGATGTCTTATGACGAATAAGGTAAAAAGTAGTACATTATTCATCCCTTGATAATCTTGGTGGTACAGTTGGTTAATCATCATATCATTATCATAAACATGATCATCATCATTATCATAAACATCTGCATCATCATTATCTGTATCATCGTCATCATCATCATCATCATCATCATCATCATCATCATCATCATCATCATCATCATCATCATCATCATCATCATCATCATCATCATCATCATCATCATCATCATCATCATGCACAATCATGCACAATCATCATCATCATCATCAACTTCAAAATCAACATTCAACTTCCAAATTAACTTCAACATCAACAACATCAATATCCACATCAACATTACCATCATCACCAATAGTTTTTCATTTGTGTTTTCCCAAGGTCGAGGTGATGAAAGTTGGTATTTTGAAAGTCCTAAGACTTGCTGTAAAATTTAGTAAACTGTGGAGTCTAGATTTGAGGGATAACAGGTTTGACGAATAACATTGATACTGTTTGTTTGCAAACCCCATTGATTGATATGAAAACTGTACATCTGTGGAAGTTTTGGTGAAACTACTTGCAAAAGTTAAGGCATCGTAGTGGACTGCTAATTTTCAGACGTAGGGCCTATGTTGTAAACGTCGAATGTTTTCTGTAGTTCCCCATAGTTCAAAACTTCAAACACAAACCATAGTATATTTTTACAGAATAATACATTATTTGTATTTTTTTTTCCTTTAGAGAAAGTTTGGTGATGTCGATAGCTGAGGATCTTCAGAAGTGGAGAACATTTATAGTGACTTTCCTGACGAAAAAGATCAAACGGGGCTCTTATCCACAATGTAGGTGTATGACAAAATAAGAGATCTATGACCTAAGCTATATTCCTGCAATATGCAGTTGTTTGGTTACAATTTCACCTCAGTCACATGTGAGAAGAGTGCTTCCAGTTTGACTCTCTGGGAACTCCGTTTTCCTCCTAACGAGACCTAGCACTGCACCAACAAAGCATGGGCCTAATTTGTGTGAAGAACTGGAATGAACTTGTCTTGAAGTGAAGGTTACTAAAATTTTGATAATTCAATGTTTGTTTTTACTTGTATTTTAGTGGAGGCGTTAGCGTACAGCTTGGGATCGAAGAGACAATCTAGTGGCCATGAAAGTTGACAGTAAAAATATCAGTGTGAATTGGCCTTCATAACTATCGCGTGTTTTTGCGCGTTGCCACACAATTACCTGTAGCTTTTGTCACGTGGGTCAATATCCGAGAGTTTTTTGGAGTACTGTCTTTCCACGTCAGAGAATATAGACAATCAAAACAATGTGAAAAGCGACTTTTCAAAGTTGCAACTGTAAATTTACCATTATAGACGCAACTGCAGTGATAAAATGTCGTCAAGATTTCGTGGTGCGTGTACTACAGGCAGTACCCCAAAAATGGCAGATAAACCGTGCGGGGAAAGGCTTAAGGCTAATTCGCTTACACATAATTTAAATGCTTGGTTACCTTTGTTCCATTCTGTGCTTACATTACATGCAGAACAGTGGTAACTAGGCATATAAGTTATCCGAAAATGTGAACTAGATTGGTTTAATGATCTATTAGAAATTGTACATATATTTAAATATTATATTTTTGTAAAGGTTGTATATATAAATAATTGTTTATTGTTTATTGATTGTTTATTGAGTTTCTCACTCATTGGTGAACGGTTTTCCCAACAGGCTATTCCCTAATTGACAGGGGATCCGAGGTACCTACGATTTAACGTCCTTAGCCGAGACGACGCGAAAGTCTAACCATTTACTGATTTTTCTACCAAAGATTGAACCCGGATCTCTCAGCTTGCAAGTGTTTGGTTATCAGATCAAAAAGCTGTTGACAACTTTTGTCAGTGTAAAGGTAGCATTTTCTCTTCATTTATAAGTAATAGCATAAAAAGAAGCGAATTAGCTATTAAAACGTCCCGCCCGATGAGGGTCGTTTAGTATAATTGCCTTGGACGCCGCTCGATGAGGGTCATTTAGAAAAATTTTACTAAATGACCCGAATCAAGCGGCGCCCAAGGGAATTTTACTAAACGACCCTCATCGGGCGGGACTTTTCAATAGCTAATTCGCTTCTTTTTATGCTATTACCTTATAATATCATGATTGCGGGTATTCCCGTTGTTTACGCAGGGCCATTAAAAACCAATTAACAATAAATAATGTATAAATTAAATGGTATAATTGTTTTCCATGTCTTTGTTTAGTTTTGGCGATTTCAGATATCTCATTTATATTCATTTTTTCTAATCGTACCCGCTTTGACGTCGTTTCGGGTAGGATTAGAACTAATTCTACCTGACATGACGTATAAAAGCGAGTAGGATTAGAAAATATGAATATAATGAGGTGTATTAGTTTTTAATTGCCCTGCGAGAACAAAGGGAATACCCGCAATCATGATATTATTATTTTAAAACCTTAAGTAGAGGTCCGACCAAAGATTGAACCCGGATCTCTCAGCTTCAAAATGTTTGGTTATCAGGTCAAAAAGCTGTTGACAACTGTTGTCATTGTAAAGGTAGCACTCTCTCCTCAGTTATTTTAAGACCTTAAGTAGAGGTCCGACCAAAGATTGAACCCGGATCTCTCAGCTTCAAAATGTTTGGTTATCAGGTCAAAAAGCTGTTGACAACTGTTGTCAATGTAAAAGTAGCTCTTTCTCTTCAGTTATTTTAAGACCTTGAGTAGAGGTCCGACCAAAGATTGAACCCGGATCTCTCAGCTTGAAAGTGTTTGGGTTATTAGGTCAAAAAGCTGTTGACAACTCTTAGTGTTGCGCACGTGAACATAGAATCTGCGCGTGTACATACTTAGGTGCAAATGATTAGTATAATAATGATAAGTAATGATTAGTAAATGATTAGTAATGATTAGTAATGATTAGTAATGATTAGTAATGATTAGTAATGATAAGTAATGATTAGTAATGATTAGTAATGATTAGTAATGATTAGTTATGATTAATGATTATAATGATAAGTAATGATTAATGATTAGTATCTTATGTAGATTAGTCCCCAGGCCTTACTCCTTGAGCGCCAAATTCAATATGGCCGTCTTCACACGTGTACTTTTTGTTTTGAATATTTTCATTTTTTATACGCAAATATGTGGAACAGACATTCACAAAAATACAGACTTCGAGACGATTTCGGTCCAAGATATCGAGCACATTACAAAGACGAGCTGCATTTTAGCAGGCTTGTCGTTTTCGGAAAGTTTAAATGACAATTTTTTAAATGTGTTTCAAAAGTTGCAAGTGGCCTTTAAATATGAACCAAGTGTTCGAATAGCCTTGCTCAAGCAAGACAAGGACTTGCTACTGAGAATTAAATGGGATAGCGACTTTAAACCAAATCTATTAAACGGCTCTGTGGTGTTTTTTCCAAGGATTAAACCGGATAGAGTGTGTCTTACTCCTAAACCGAAATTTGTGCCCGTTGCAGAGGTAAAGTATATTAAACCAAAGACAATGTTTTGTTAGCTGCAGTCAACAGATTAATAGCAGAAGATGTTAGATGGTTTTTCTGGACAGTTCATGGGGGAAAAATTCGGTATTGAAGTACAAATTTTTGATTGTCTGTATGAATCAACATGAAACATTTGAAAAAGTAATTTGAATTTGGACTGTAAAGTTTTGCCTTTGGGGATGATTTTACTTGTCAAGGGGAGAGTGCTGCAACTCAATGGGTTAATAGCTAAGTATTTTGAACATTTTTCTAGGTTTGGAAAGGCAATATAGATGCACAGTTATTGCTGCTGTACCTGAATTCAAAATGTGAAACTTTTCGAATGCTGGATGGAAATCTGTCAGCTCAAGGTAAAAGACGTCTTGATATCTTGGCAAACTTGTATCGTCTGCCGAGAATTGCGTTCCCGGGCATGGCCGCAGAATGTGATCGGATTAAAATGCCGAGCAAAGGAGAGTTTCTTCACAAGTATCTGTTCAGATCAAAGCCTGTTATAATAGAAGGTGGGTTTCATTCGTACTGTAATTTATCTTGAGGCAAGTGGGGAATAATTGGTTTATTCCAGAAAACATCCACACCTCTCCCACAGAGGAAGTTGAAAGTCAACCCCCCTACCCCCTTCAAATGTTCTAATACCGTACACTTACTTTTATCTGAAAACAAATTTTTCTACCCTACCCCTACAGAGACGGCAAATTTTTTTTTGGGGGGAAAAATATAATAAACATGCTTAGAAAAAGGCAGCATTGGCTTTTAGTACTTTCCAAAAATTCCATGCTTTATGGAATTTTTGAGAAAATTAGTGCAAAGTTTGCACTATGATAGATAGCAGCCTGTAAAATAATATTGCACGATGACTGATTTCTGGTCATTCACAATCTTTCCAAAGGTGCTCTAGAGAACTGGGCAGCTCTCAAAAAATGGACAAACGATTTCCTCGAATCGAAATTTGGTGAAAACGAAATTCACATTAAAATGACTTCGGACGGTGTTTTCGAGGGATGCGATCGGGCGGAACACTTTTCCGATTTTAAATCTTTCCACATTCCCGATTTTGTCGCAAAACAGCTTCCATTTCCTGACCTCGTTGTCGTCCGCCCAGCGTCCATGAATCTGGATTTTGCCTCTTTCATGAAAATGATTCGCCTGCCGCCAAAAGCAAACATGTCCGCATACTTAGAGTATTCGTCAATTCCCGAACACATGCCCGAGTTGGAACAGGACATCTCGGAATTTGATTTTGTGAAAGATATTTTGACGAGGAGACATCTTAATATATGGTTGAGCAATGGAAACACGCTTGGCAAGTTGCACTTTGATCCTTATGAAAATTTTCTTTGTCAGGTAAGATGTCAATTCAATTCAGCAGCAATTATTTAAACACCATTAAGAATCATGCAACACATTGCTGATAAAAAGTACATGCTAAAAATGAAAATATTAAAGTGCTGATGACGTGAAAATTTGACCCAGTCTTTTCCACATGATTGCATCACAAAGATCAGTGAAACATCGCAAGGACGGTTACAGCTGTAACCGTCTTTGTGATTGCATCAGTCACAAAGATGGTTACAGCTCAACAGCTGGGCTCTGTAGCTCAGTTGGTTAGAGCGCTGCACCGGAATCACAGAGCCATAGGTTCAATTCCTACCGGAGGACCTTGTGCTGCATTTTTCGCAGTCGTTCCTGGTTAGGTCTTAAAATGTATATATACTCATTTGGATTACAAACCCCTCTTTGGAAGAATACTAGTCTTCAGTTGTAGCTTTCTTCATTTCCGAGATATCAGGGCTCGAAATAGCGGGCTGCCAATGGCCAAAAGCAGGCCATATTTTAGAAATGACAGGCAAAAACAAATTGGAACTGCCAAAGCAAAAACAAATTGCAGGTGAAATTCTATAGATATTTCATTTCATTTGCTGACCACAACTCATATACACTAGTAACTATATTTGAGATTATATTTGAAATGTAAATCCAAGTTTACTGTAGTAAAATAGACAAGTTTAAAAACAATAAAAATGCATATCATGAAATCATTGATTTTTACAATATCATATGAGACATCGCCATTTTGGCAGTTCAATGAATAAAAATGGCAGGCGAAAATTTATTTCACCTGCCAAAAAATTTTAGACTGGCAGACCATATTTTTTCTCTACTTTGAGCCATGGAGATATTCAACTTTGTTTGATCTGCAAACATCGTCAGCATGGCATCACACTGCATAATGAGATTTTTGAAGAGAATCATAATTTTGAAATTGGTTAAAATATTCCACATACAGATTGCTAATTATTTTTCACTCGTGCAGACTGCATTATTTACTCTTTTTTTAATTAACTTATTTTTAAATTTTTGATACTTTATTTAATAATTTTGACACTATCATATTTAATACTTTTTCCTCTTTCTTAATTGTATTTTTTTTGTATTGTATTTGTATTGTTTTTTGTTCGGTAAAAATTTAATAAATTGAAATTGGTTGCACTTCAAAAAACTGGGCTATTGTCAGCAAAGAGAATGAGTTTACATTCTACTTTAGAATTCAGTATGTGTTTTTTTTTCTCATTTTGCATCCGTCATATTCCACAGATTAGTGGCTCAAAACAACTCACCCTATTTGAACCTCACAACAACGACCAACTCTATGAGGGACACATACAAGAGGCCATTTTGGGATACGATAAAAATTCTAAAAAATTTTCCAAGAAAAAATTACTGGATAGTACATCGATGGTTATGTCACCTATAGACATTCTCAGACCAGATTACGAGAATTTTCCGAAATTTAAAGAAGTTCCCGGGATGAGATGTACTATACATGAAGGAGACGTGTTGTATATGCCATCGTTTTGGTGGCATGAAGTACAATCTGTTCCCAGCAAGGAGAAACGAAATCTTGCTGTGAATTTCTGGTAAGTATATTGCTACTTTGCTAACCCTTTATAGAGGTAATAGCTTAGCTGCTTTGCAAGTTAACAACAGTGAGTTCTACAACATTTTCCCAACTTTTTTCTCACGGATCGTATCGCTAAACCGAAATTTATCAGTTCCTAAAACCATAGTATTACTCTTTTAATCATATAGAGGGCAAAATTACTCAAATATGATTGGCTAATGATGAGGGCATTTTTTCTTAATTCAAGACAAAATTACTTGTACCTGGTTGGCTGAGACGCAAGCGCGGGAGGTTTCTTGCTTTAAATAGCAATAAAAACAATGGCTTCTCGCTTTGTCGTTGTGGATAATAATGTTATTGAAGAATTAAAAACTTCTAGTGAAAACTCGAATACTACTAAAAAGTACAATTTTATGGGTTTGGAGTATTTAAGAAATGGGCAGCATTAAGGAACTTTGGCCAAAGCTTGGAGACATACGAGGTTCAAGAACTCGACAAGTCCACAATTAACCTGCAATTAACTTACGAATAAATTTTGCCCTCTGTGATTAACAAGTGTAATCGCACAGTTCCTCGTAAAATTAAGTTTTAATTTCACTTGTGTTTTCAAAGGTTCACAAATTTGTGAAACCATAGTTAATAGAATAGATGGTCTGGAAATTCATTAGAATAACAATATAACTCGTTATCTATGTTAGTCAACGTTTATTCATAAATCTGGTCGTTTCACCGTCACGTGTGTATTGTATTTTTGCCAAATCCACCATTCGCAATTTCCAATTTACCCTATTGTTCGAGTCACGGATAGGTAACTTTCCTAAAACATTGCTATTGGTTAGTTGGGCAAAAATACAATACGCACGCGACGGTGAACGACCAGATTTATGAACAAACGTTGACTAACATAGATAATGAGTTATATTGTTATTCTAATGAGCCATCTATTCTATTAACTATGGTGAGACTTTGAAAACACACGTGAAATTAAACCTTAATTTTACTCGCCCCCTTGCGATTACCTATACAAATTGAGGTTAAAATACGAAATTTCGGCAGACGCCTTGCAGCCTTACAAAATGAAGTCCAATCACACCATCTTTGGCTTCACATTTTGGACTCAGTTCTCACTCCAGTATATATAGACAGGTCACTGGTTACCAATGGAAAAGTGCATCATGATATTTTCTTTCGTTTATTCCATTATTTTAGGTATGAACCGTTTCTTACAAAGGAATTTCCATGTGCAGAATGTCCGATGGATATAAATCCACACTACTTTCATAATTTATTGTAATAATTTAAGTTTTTTCCGGCTGTAAATAGTTGAATAATATAGGTTTTTAAACTCTATAAAAAATTATAGGACAGTGTCAGGATTTTGGTTATATACAATTTTCAGACCTACCCAGGAGCAATTGCGAACTAATGGGAGGGTGTTGATGGGGTATATCGTGAGTCGTGATGCACTCAATTTCGGTTACTGTCAGTCGTGAAAACACTAAAAATTTAGCGTGAATCGTGAGGAAAAAATACTGTTTATTAACGTTTCAGAACACTTCTCAAAGATTTCCCGTTAAAATATCAAAATTTTACTTATTGTTACCGTTAAAGGCACAGTTCAGCCTTTTGAACGATGGTTTTTAAGGCGCATTTCAGCTCTTTTAATTGAAAAAACTAACTAGGAAAATCAATTAAGCATAATTCAAGATCACCAAACTCAATGTTTTTAACATTTTAAAACATTTTTATTGTTAAAACATCGAGTTTACTGATTTTGAATTATACTTAATTGATTTTCCTAGTTAGTTTTTTCAATTAAAAGGGCTGAAATGCGCCTTAAAAACCATCGTTCAAAAGGCTGAACTGTGCCTTTAAAGTAGCAAAAAATTTACTGTTTAATGATTTTCATACCCCCATGTAGACCCTCTAATAGGCTGTCTGGTAGGAATCGTATCTGCGGCCCTGGGATTCCGGTGCAGCGCTCTAACCAACCGGGCTACAGAGTCCAGTTGTCAAGCTCTATAACCAGTTACCTAGACTGCGAGCAGTCCCTCAGGAGAAAGGAGGGACTACCGACCACACATTAAGAAACGAAACACGCGTTGCCCACACAACGCAAAATTCCCATTGGTCGAAATCGATGTGCCTGTCAATCAAATCTCATATGTGGTAATTATGCTATACATAATTTCCAGACTGAATGTTGATTTTATAAGTAAACATGACATTAAACGGTTCCTATTGGATAGATTAAATTGGGTATAAGTACATCTATAAGTACATTGGGTATATAATTACATTGGGTATATAGGTCGTCGGTTCGATTCCCACCGTGGCCGGGCATATTTTTCAAGCTCGCCCGGTTTGGATGTACACTCAGAGTAACATCACAAACATCATATTCACCTGAGTACACAACACCAACACAGAAAAAATCAAGTACATGTAATGTTTATGCAAAAGGCGGAGCCAACTTGACAAGAGCGAAAAGTGGGCGTATTTCGTTTCTTAATGTGTTGTCGACAGACCCTCCTTCCCCTCGCACGCCCGGGAAGCTAAATCCGTGGAAAGAAGGGACCGCTCGCAGTCTACCAGTTACCAACCACATTGCACTCAATCTTCGATTAAAGATCAAGTGATATTTTATAAAGATCTCTAGAGATAGGTCTTCAGACATTCACTTCAATTTAATTAGCTTTAGAAACACGGTAAGGGTGAAGATGCCATTTGTAGTTATGCAATATTTTAAGAAAATTACATTTACATGCAATGGTATTTAAAAATAACTTTGCAATAGAAAAATTTAGAATGATATGCATAATAAATAGATTTAAACGATTACCGAAACATCGGTGTACACCTTAAACAGAAAAACAGCATATTCGTTAACTGTAGCGTGACTGTATCTTATCACAAGCAATTTTGTCTGGGTAAAATTTCGTTTATCTGCAGTTATGTCTTATCTGCGACCGGGACTCATTTTAACATAATTGCTATAGAATGCACCATGGCACAAATGTTGCCTTAGCCTTAATCAGACCGCACAAAGTTTATCAAGATATGATGATGGATTAAGACCTGCCTGAATTTCAAAGCTATACAAAATAATTAACAAATAGAAGAGGCTCACGAGCCGCCGAGGCGAGTTCCCACATTATGATGTATATCTATAACTGAACAGACAACGGTAAAATCTTATCTATTTGTTTTATATAATAAAAAGAAAACCCCCGAATTAAGCATGTGGGTAATTCCACGGTGACTCGTGTTACATTCTGAACCAAACTATCAGAGTAATTTTGATCTGCTGTAATAACTAATACATTTTTTTCTGTCACTACTGATTCACAGTAAAAATTAAACACTTGATAATAACATGACAAGATTGGTGGCCGTAAATTGGTGTGTGACTCATGTTACGACAAAGTGACATGAGGTAACACCAACCTAACTACTTTTGAATTTCTTCGGGAACCATAGGAAGGAGAAACATACAATGTCTATCAAGTAACAGACTATATGTTAGGCAAACTACCAACACAAAGAAATTTTATATTTTGGATTACAGTAGTAAGGATTGCTTCATAATACACGTGTTACATACATGTTACGTCACTCATGTTACGTCACTCATGTTACGTCACTCATGTTACACATAAAGTACATCTTAATATTTCAGTTCAGAATTGTTTCAGAAAGCTTCTGAAAATTCTTGACAACTTTTTTTTTTCAAAAGATGTCATCACTACCATGGAATTACCCAGGTAAATACTGTACGACTGTCCTCCGTACGACTGTCCTCTAATAGATCACATGGCTCTCGACCAATGAAAGCACTTGAATTTTTAACGTTATTATGTAAAAGGCCTTTGCTCGATGTTGAACCGTGTACAAATCCTTTTTCTCAACTTCATTAAGTATTACTCAACTTCATTAAGTATTTGTGACACGATTCATCCCGCCTATGGCGGCTGGCAGGCCTATGAACAGCCCCTACACTCCCGGAAAGAGGCGACCACGCTCATGTAGATTATATATATCATAGTTTTGTTTGTAAAACATTCTTATCTTTGTTGGCCATGTTTATAAAATATTCTTAATTGGAATACTTAAGGATTGTTCGATCAGCCTTATCTTGTCTGAACTCAACTATAACATCAAACAATCGTATACCCTATTCGCTCATCAATACCATTTTTGGACACGTCTACAGATAACCTCTAAAATACTTGCTGTTTTAGTTGGGTTTAATCCTCGATGGCTATAGATTGTCTATGTACAATCACTTTATAAATAATTGTGACTTTGATACCACGACTGTTGTCTCTGTTCAAAAAATTATGCATAGCTTTCTCCGATGTCTTTTTCAGAACTATAATCTTTTTCAAATGTTTTGGGACAGATGCCACAAATTACCTATTATTTCGACAAATTTCCATCCCCCCCACCGCCCCTTTTCAATGTTGGGTCTCAGCATCTTACTTTGGTGTCGGTGATCGGGTAAACATCATTGAATGGGAAGGGGGGGGGGGATATAAATGTTTGTAATAATTTGCATATATCCCGACTGATGATCTAAAACCGCAAGTGTCCCAACAACTTTAATTGAAAATGACTGTACTCATCTGTGTAATTGAATCTTGGAATGATTGTTTTAAAGATTTCATTTTGAGAGCCTACAGTACAACCGTGGCCAAATTAAAGTCCTTGGGACATTATAGCGCTTCTTGCTTTTTTCCGCCAAAAAGGTTAGGTGGAGATGTTATACTCTTTTCTACTCTTTTCTAAGTGCTCCCCCCACACAATGTTGATTTACATACATAGGTAAATGAGGGAAGGGGCGAGAAGACGTTGTATTGTCCCAACCCCACAACAACAACCCAAAGCCATTGGTGGTTAATTATAGTGTGTGTTTAGTTTAGTTCAGAGTTTATTGAGTTTCTCACTGATTGGCAAGCGAATTTCCCACCGGACACCACATGAGCTGGCGTGTGGAAATTTCTACCGACTTCAGTTCGTACCGAAAATATGTAAAATTATCCACTTTGACCTTAATTCTCTGCTGTGGGAGATACGAAAGCCCCCGACCGTGTGTCGAATAGCTAGACTGTAAATGGTTATAATCATACTATGGTTATAATACATCCCTATGGAGTAAAATAATTGCCTTTATATATTCACGTCAAATAAAACGATTTATTTGCAAATTGCCATCAACAACACGATGACATATTTTTGACTCATTAAAGAACCTTTCTGTCATCGATTAACGCAATAAGTGATAAAAAGACGCAAACATGATTTTATCAGCAGCATCTCGAAGCGTTCTGCTGCAACGCGCTTGACCTTCTTCGGTTAGAAATTGAAGATGAAGATATATCTAGCTTGCGATTCTATTTTAGTGTCATAATTTTAACTCTACGTTAATCTGTGTTATATATTTAACCTAATTTTTTATTTTGTACATGTTATTCAATTATCGACCCTAAAGGCTGGCACATTGTCAAAGTTTCTGTGAACACAGCGGAAATTTCGCATATTAAGCCGGTTTTCCACTAGGCGGAATTTTGCGCGCGGAGCGGAATTTTTCTTTGTCTTGTGATTTCTCGGGTGGAACTAATTAGAAAATACAAAGAAAGATTCCGCTCCGCGCGCAAAATTCCGCCTAGTGGAAAACCGGCTTTAGGTAAATTCTACGTTATGAAGAATTTGTAAGAAATCTTTGAGGGAACCGCGTGACTTAAACACGATTTCGGTTGTATTCCAAAGGTCGTAGGTTCGATTCCCACCGTGGCCAAGGCATATTTTTCAAGCCTGCCCGGTGTGGATATACACTCAGAGTAACACTGATCACAAACATCATATTCACCTGAGTAAATAACACCAACACTGAAAAAAAATTTGTTGTACGTGTTGAAGATTTTATATACAACAAACTGACACAAACACAATTTTTTCCAGCCCCCTTGGAAATCGAACGTCTGTGTTGACAGGAACGTCGGTTGCTTTATATAGCCAAGGTGACGTATATTTTCCGGAAGGGTGTATTCTGCGAATGTTCTTTAGCACCAGATGTAGAAATTTGTTCCTATTTTGTACAACTTTGTAAATTTTCAAAAAAAATTAAACTGAGTATATATTCCTATCAACTGAAATAGTACCAGAATCTATGTACATGACCAAATTTATATGTCCATTCCCATATGATAAACCGTAGTCTTAACGGGGAAACCAAACAAATTCACTAGAAGAATTACAATCTACTTGGAGTGTTTATCTTGAGTTTGTTAATTAACGAGCTTGGAGACAACACCTTTTCTGATTGTTTTACCCAAGAGTTTCTAAAGAAAAAGAGTATGTCTATAGTCTGTGATGCTTTCTGGTAGAACTGTTATGTATATTTAGTAAAATTATTTGTTAGAAACACTTGTATACCACCATTGCAATATCTCTGTACAGGAGTAACAGTTCCATTGCCGGAAGCCAGTCGAGTTCTTGTAAACTTGCTGTTACATCGTCAAAATTTCTAATTTTTTGTCATCCGGGTGGCAGTTGGGTTAGGCTAACCTTGGACAGACTTGCGTTCCAATCACAAGGGTCGTCTGCAGAACCACAGGACAATCGGTCAATGGCTTGCGCAAGAGCAGCAACGATTGATGCGCCTGACGAAAAGCGCAATTTACAGATTAATATAAAAGCCCAGCATGGGCCCCCAGCGAATTATTTTCAAACAAGACATAGGCATGGCAAAAAAGCAGAACATTTATTTGCTAACGGTTCCTTGTCTATATCATGACATTTTCAGAGCATTCTATGTACAAGAAAATTATATATGTGTTCTTACATAAAAAACTTATTCATTAGGAAACTGCGACAAAGGAAATCATTATCGTGTCGGTAGTTTTACATGTGATAAAAAATCATGTTCATTTACATAAACTTTAGCTTTGATTTTCTCGGTTTAGACAACGTTGATTTTGGAAATTACTTCGCCAATGAACTCGTATAAAGATGGCCGTCGTTTTTTCTAAGCCATCAGTTAAAACACTCGCAGTCCGCATGCTTTATCAGATATAAGACACTCGGCTGTCATGTAGCCTCGTGTTTTGTATCTAATAGTAATAAAGCACTCATGCCCGTGTTGCAAATTAATTAAACGGTTACAAAATTCAAATGAATGAATAAGTAGAAGAAACTCTTGTCGAAAAAAACACGTGCGTGTGTTGTTCTCCTAAAGTAACCAATAAAGTATTAAAAGATAGTCATTTAAATTCCGTAATGTAAACAAACGCTTTGTTTACAATTTGAACTGCTATATTTGTAAAATATGATATACTAACTGAATATCTGACACTTTTCTGGTTGCGCTATACTTGTAAATGAATATAAACTATAGACGTTTCAATTCAAAGAAGCTGGTCCCCCTTTGTTATGAACAGAAGTGATGCGCAGAACGGACTTTACAGCATCTTTAAAATCGATAAACTCAAGTGCAAATAAATTAGTCTTCAATATATTTTTACTTTTCCCTTTATATATTTTATTTTTACTTCGAGAGAAAGTAAGGTTATATAACGTGAATATTTTTTTCAATTATCTTTTTTGGGTCTAAAATTGTACATAAACTTCCGCTCCAAATTCTACAAATCTATCGAGATAGACGCCCAAAAATCTCGATATTAAAGAATTAATGACTGAATTATCATCCACTTTCCAACTGAGTATTTCCTAATTATTTAATTGGACTAACGCCCAAGACAAGGAGAGGAAAAAAAACTTCACGGACGTGCCATTCGTAGGCTTAACCTCCCGTAATTCCTATAAAATAAGAAGCTTTGTATATATTTAGAAATATATTGACTCTCAGATGAATTCCTTTCCTGAGCACATGACGTCATCTGGAACATTCCATTTAACCCGAGGTCATGATGTCACTAGATATCATAGTAAATCTTATATAGGCGGACGTGACGAAACACATGCACGTAAATTCAAAGTGTTAGAAAGAGTATGGATTCTATTTGGAAACAAAGACGGAACAAATCCATTTGTAAAGCATAAGGAACTGTCACATCCGCGCGCTCTAAATTAAGCACATCTTAATCTCTATTTCTGCAACACGTATATTATTACCCGTTCGGTAAACAAATCAGTCGTTCAGAAAACAAGCATTCTCTTAATACCGCGGTAAGATGAAACATTCACAAATCATCGCTG